GTTCCTGGTTCGTACGACTGGGGCTATCTGGTGACTAAAGTGGTGGCCGTGGACGTGGACTCTGGCCAGAACGCCTGGCTCTGCTATAAAGTGCACAAAGCTACCGACAGGGCGCTGTTTGAAGTGGGCCTCCACAACGGAGAAATCCGAACTGTCCGCCAAGTGACTGACAAAGATGCTGACAAACATTCAGCGACAGTCATTGTGAATGTGGCGGTGGCCGACAGCTTCCCTCAAGTGCTGTCAGAGTTCACTGACTTGAGCATGCACGACAAGGAGTACAATGACCAGCTGACTTTTTACTTAGTCTTGGCTCTGGCAGTGGTATCCTTTCTCTTCATCACCTGCTTGCTGCTTATCATATCGGTCAAAGTGTACCGATGGAGACAGTCTCGCGTCCTGTACCACTCCAACCTGCCAGTCATTCCGTATTGTCCACCACGTTACTCGGATACTTTGGGGACGGGGACTCTCCCGCACGTGTACAATTACGAGGTGTGCAGGACCACTGACTCCAGAAAAAGTGACTGTAAATTGGACAGAGCTGCTAGTCACAACGTGCTGGTCATGGACTCTGGTTCAACAGGGACCACCCAGAAGCCTTTCAGGGAAAAGAATATCCTGGATGAACCTGACTCCCCTCTTGAGGTTAGTTTGTAACATTGTCATGTGGAGTGCTCTGTATCTTTTTGGTTCATGACCTATTTTCTGGGTGCATTATAGTATCTCTTAGGTCTACAATACTCTATAATTTCCATCAAGGATAAATGTTAAAATATGAGAGGCATTGTTTCAATTCTCCTTGATTTCAGTTGCTTACTGAGAATAATATGCAGTGGGAGGGAAGTGGAGATTCAGCACCATGGAGAGCTACCCACGTACTCTTTCGTTCTCCACTGTTGAATACTTAAAATTCTAATTGTACCATTATTTTTAATATCAGTGGAGTGTTACTATATAATTTTAGTGCTGTCAAGTTCATATTTTAGTTGCCTTCATTACCATCTATTATTGAATGTTTGTGAATTGCAATCTCAAAATAGTTACATGAAAAAAAAACCTCTGCTGCCCCTTTGGGGACATTTGTTTTCATACCCTCAAAAATCTTTTTTTCCATCTCCACTAATCTCTGTCAGACATGCAGGATGTGATTACCAATGAAGTGATAACAATGTGAACTTTGTATGAAGTATCACTGATTTGAAGTCAGTCAATTCATTTTGCCTTTGCCCCTAAAATTGCTCAGTGGTTCAGAAAATGCACAGATTGGACAGAGTAAATACACTGCAATGGATAGAGCACTGAAAACAATACTTCTGACCACAATTACCTCAAGAATCACACTTTTTTTCATGCCATGATGAATTTGCGGCGAGCACATCTGCCTTGCAGTCAGTATAGATTAATTTTAAAATATTATTTCTAACATTTCGACATGAGGTTTGCTAGTTTTCCCCATGCTTGTCTGGTTTTCTCCCACATTCCCTAAACATGCTTCTTAGGTTAACTGGATCTCAAACTTACCCGTGTATAAATGTGAGTGTGAATGGTTAACTGTGTAAAGGTGACCCACGATTGACCGTCAAACTGTCCCAGGTGTAAGCCGCCTCTCGTCCAAAGTCAGCTGTGACGGGCTCCAATTCCCTGCAAACCTATGAGGGCAAGCAGTGTATTAAATGTTTAGACTGACAGACTAGTTTTATGTCGCCTAATCTATCCCCTGAAAAAAATAGTGTGTTGAATATACTGAATTTTATTTAGTTTATTGGTTGTATGAAATAAAATCAATTTGATCCAGATACATATTTTTCTACACATCTACTTAAAAATGTATCGAAATCCAGTTGATTGTATTGTGTGCAGCCACCTGACAAAATAAAATTGAATTAATTAAACAACATTTGTGGGGGCGTAGTGAGCTTGATTGATACATGCTAGAAAGATATCCTGTCCCAAACACTGCATTATTGGGACTTTGGCTCTGGTTGCCTGTTAATGTTTTCTCAGCTAGGATTCAAATTACTTCAGTATTTCAGATTTTATCTGATTGTGGGGCACAGGAATCATATTTATTCACTAACATCGCATTTTGTCTTTGATGTTGCAGATTTGAACCCACATTTGTTAAATTCCGTTGTGTTTTTAAATGACTACCAATTAATCCCTGATACAGTGACAATACAGTAAAATTGTTTCTTCATAGGTGCAGATATGGCGCACATGATGATTTCCCAATATGTAACCCCACTTTCGCAATATAAGAATCCATCTAATTTTCGGATAAATCCACAGCATTTGCGACAAACATGACCACATGATAGTAAGATTTGAACACCACACACACACACAAGTTGATTCCTTTTAATAACTTGTAGTTACAGTAATTTACACAATCCGGACAAAAATGTAGACAACTGACTTTAAAGACAACTAAGTCATGGTGCTACAGTCAATGAAATCCACCAGCAGCGAGTGAGCAATAATTAAATAAAAGCAGTGGACAGTGGATGAACACAAGTCTGTCACTACTAGGAAATAATGAACATCTATAATTAACAAAAACAGTCATTCTTGGCAACTATTTACACAATGCCGCTAGGCATGCTGGGGATTCCAGCATCAATTTACCCCTTTCCGTGACAATATTTTGAGCCAACAAGGTAATGTTTGGATGTGTGCTAAAAGGTGATTTTTGTTGTTGTTGTTGTTGTTTCCAAATACTCAGAATTGTATTTTGTGTAAAATGTTATTCTTTCTACAGTGTTTCTGCAAGCACTCGTTGCTAATGACTTACTTGCTCTCAATCTTGCATTCCCCTGCCGCTGAATTCACTACTGCCAGATATGTAGTGTATGAAAATTAGACACAATGTTGAGCTGCGTGCCCGCAGATAATACGAGGCCCATCTTGAGCCGGGAGTCACTCAATGGTCCCGCCCCTCCACTTCATTTATTTCTATTGAGACCTAGGGTATGAGCACACTTCCAAAAATCACAACTCGCAAAACTTTTCAGCGATTTTCATGCAGTTAATTTGGTTGTAAACGTCAAGACATGTGGCTACAATACAAAAGAGTGAGTATGAGTTGAAAAAATTTCTTCACTGAAAAATGTTTACGTTTAAGGTATTATTCAGTTTATAAACATACCCAGTTAGGTGCATGGGATCCATACATGTCCAATCTTAATGATAGATAGACAGACAGACAGACAGACAAACTTGGTCTCTGTCCACACCCCGGTTCAAAATCCCGCATGCGCCACGTGTTTCTTGATAAACAGTTTCAAAGGAACATTTACGACCAATGAGAGGAATTATGCTCATTTAATGAAAATAATCCTGAAAAGTTACGAAATATGGTCAAATGTGTTCATATATTTTGAGCTACGCGACGTGGTTGCACTGCAGGGAAAAGAAACGAATCACAATATTGTAGTTCAGTTGCGACAACAAACACGCAGATAGATGCTAATTAGATAAACATCAATCTGCATTTGTAAACTGTTATAGAATGACGGTGATACATGTCAGCCATGTTTGTGAGCAGTCGTTGAGACATACGTTCCACGTATACTGAATTGTAAATATATTTCTCTCTCTTTTTTTTTTTTGTCACGTCCTGGGGAAAGAATGAGTTTTTTTTTGTTCCATCCTGCAATGTTGCAATATGGACTCTTAGCGACGCTGTAGACCGAAAAGTTGATGGTTGGGAGGCGGACTGTCTCTGCGTAACCATTACCGTCGACCAGAGAGAGAACGCGACGGAGGAGAACGGATTATTTGACGTGCTTGTCAAAACAATTAGATATATTTTTGGCCCTAAAAGCCATTTACATCGATTTACAGTGGATTGTGTTCGACATTAGACTGTGAAGAGGATCTTTTTAGTGGACTATAACTAGAGAGGCTCGCCGCTGGGAAGAGGTGGAAAGAACAATGAATGGGCAAGTACTGCTGTTTGTGTCTCTGTTCGCCCTCGACGCAGTGTACGGCCAGGTCAGCTATTCCATTCCAGAGGAGATGAGCAGAGGATCTCTCGTGGGAAACATAGCGCAAGATTTAGGTGTAGAAATTCGACGTCTGATTTCCGGCAAAGCAAAGATCTATTCCAGGAACAATGAAGAATACATCGAGCTGAGCCGAGAGAAAGGAGTCCTCCTCGTGAAAGAGAGGATCGACAGAGAGGCTCTTTGCGCACACACCGCGCTTTGTGCGCTGCATTTCCGTATCATTTTGGAAAGTCCTATCGAATTTTACAGTGTTACTGTGCAGATTACCGACATAAATGACAATGCTCCGAAATTTGAAAAAAACGAGATGAATTTTAAAATAAGCGAGTCGGCGACCGTCGGAGCTAAATTTGTTCTTGATGGGGCTCTAGATCTTGATGTCGGAATTAACGACCTACAAAATTATGAATTAAAACCAGCGGATCATTTCACTCTTAAGATGCAGAATAACGCAGATGGAAATAAAAACGTAGAGATGGTTTTACAAAAGTCTCTAGATAGAGAGAAAGAGGAGCAGATGTCTCTCGTGTTAACGGCTGTAGATGGAGGAGAGCCGCGCATGTCGGGAACGATGTTGATTCACGTTACAGTGTTAGACGCGAACGATAATGCCCCCGTTTTTACACAGCACACATACAAGGCTACTGTGACTGAGAATTCACCTGCAGGGACGCTTGTGGCTACTGTTTCTGCTTCTGATGAGGATGGAGATTTGAACTCCAAAATATCGTATTCAATAACAAACACCCAAGATAACGTTAGAAATATATTTGACATTAATAAAGAAAACGGCCAGGTTTCATTAATTGGAAATATTGATTTTGAAAATTCAAAACATTTTCAAATCAAACTACTTGCAAGTGATGTTGGGGGATTTACGGATTCTTCTAAATTGATTATCGATGTAGAAGATATAAATGACAACAAACCAGAAATTAACATAATGTCCAAATCAAATGTGATATTAGAGGACACAGAAATCAATACTGTTGTTACTGTTATCAATACTGAAGATTTGGATTCGGGAGACAATGGAATGGTAAAATGCTTTATTAATGAAAATATTCCATTTACTCTCAAAACCTCTGAAAATAATTTTTATAGCCTAGTTACAGATAATGATTTAGACAGAGAGAGGTCGTCTGAGTATAACATCACAGTGATGTGCTCTGATGAGGGCGTGCCCTCCCTCTCCAGCAGTGTCACTCTCACCTTACTCATCTCAGATGTGAATGACAACGCGCCTGTCTTTGAGAGGAGTTCATATGAGGCCTATATTGTTGAAAATAACACACCAGGTCTCTCCGTACTCATGTTGAAAGCCAGTGATGCTGACTGGAACCAGAATGCTCGTCTTTCTTACATCCTAGAGGACTCCTCAGTTCACGGCGTGCCAGTCTCCTCATATGTGTCAGTTAGTGCCGAGAGTGGAGTCATCCATTCAGTGCGTTCTTTTGACTACGAGCAACTGAAAGAGTTCCACTTCCGCGTCAGAGCGCAGGATGGAGGCTCCCCTCCCCTCAGCAGCAACGTGAGCGTTCGCATCCTGATCCAGGACCAGAACGACAACGCACCTCAGGTCCTGTACCCGGTGCCGACGGGCGGCTCGCTGCTGGCCGAAATGGTGCCTCGTTCTGCAGATGTGGGCTATCTTGTGACAAAAGTGGTGGCCGTGGATGTGGACTCCGGTCAGAACGCCTGGCTCTCCTATAAAGTGCACAAAGCCCCCGACAGGGCGCTGTTTGAAGTGGGCCTCCACAACGGAGAAATCCGAACTGTCCGCCAAGTGACTGACAAAGACGCTGTCAAACAAAGACTGACTGTTGTCGTGGAGGACAACGGGCGGCCCTCTCGTTCAGCCACGGTCATTGTGAACGTGGCGGTGGCCGACAGCTTCCCTCAAGTGCTGTCAGAGTTCACTGACTTGAGCATGCACGACAAGGAGTACAATGACCATCTGACTTTTTACTTAGTCTTGGCGCTGGCGGTGGTCTCCTTCCTCTTCATCACCTGCTTGCTGCTTATCATATCGGTCAAAGTGTACCGGTGGAGACAGTCTCGCGTCCTGTACCACTCCAACTTGCCTGTCATTCCGTATTGTCCACCTCGATACTCGGATACTTTAGGAACAGGAACTCTACCCCACGTGTATAATTACGAGGTGTGCAGGACTACTGACTCCAGAAAAAGTGACTGTAAATTGGGCAGAGCTCCAAGTCACAACGTGATGACAATGGACCCCCACTTTACTGGGACCATGCAAAAGATGCACATTGAAAAGAAGATCATGGATGAACCTGATTCCCCTCTCGAGGTTAGTTTACAGTATTTTCATTTGGACTGTTTCTTCTGTTGATGATTGACTTCATTGTCATCATGACTGTAGTTTCTCAAAGTTCGCCAATCATTGCATAAACTTCACCATGTGCAAATTTTCAAAGGCGAGGGGTGGTGTTTAAATTTTACATGAGTTTGCCCACTGAGAAACATATTCATGCGGTTGAATTGAAGTTGAGCTTCAGCACCATGGAGAGCAAAACTTTTAGCCTCATTTCTTTGTTAGCCATTGAGCATTTCAACTCAAGTTGCATTATTATTTTCTTCTCCATTGGAGGCAAGATTTGACGTGTACTGTCAAATTTATTTTCAAGATGTCTTTTATACTTTTAATCTTTTGAGCATACCTAACGAACGATGCATTCTAGTCATTGTTAAATTGAGTGCTGCCTACTTGGTACTGTTTGTGTTTGTCCATATCCTCATAAAGGAGGTTTATTCATCCACATGATCACTGGCAGAACTGCAGCGTTTGATTACCAATGACGTGATGACAATGTACAGTTTGTGTGAAGAATCACTGATAAGTAATCAATCAGTACAGTGTGCGTATTATGACCCTGAGCAGGATAACCACAATAATGAGGATGGATGGATGGATGGCAGATAGCTTCCCAAAGTGCTGCCAAATAATAAACGAATATTTTTTTTTCTTGAAAAGATGATGTAAAAATTTGAAATATTGCCATTCGTCGAGCACTTACAACCCTATCAGACATTTGACCTCATTTAACTGAAATATCTTGTTTTTCAACATGTTGGATTTGTGGTTAACGCATGTGCCTCATAGTCCGTAGTTGCGTGTTCCAGTCTTAGTTTCTACATCCCTTCATGCATTCAAGTTTAGCAATTTTTTCAAACCTCAATAGGATGTTTGGAGCTGCACGACGTACAGTAGCTGCTGTGGGGAGAGTAAACAAATATGTGCTGTTAAATGGGAGCTAAGAGGGATAACTGTGGAGGGTTGATTACATATATTACATTAATTTGTAATTTCTTATAGGGGGACCGCAGCGTCGGTTAAAATAATAAAGCTTTACAGGTGGTAGAAAGTTTCCTTTCGTGCCGTATAAACCTCTCACGCCGTAAGAGCTGGAACATAAAACAGATATGACGTAATGAGTCGCTCGTATCTACGTACATGTAAAGTGCGATTAATTTAACACACATTCTAATCACAAACATAAGTTTATAGAAAGATAAACACAATTTTTTACCTTGTTGCCACTTTCAACCGGGCTTAGTACTTTTAAACTCTTAATTCTGTCGTCTGCGAATTGTTTCAGCTTTTCTGAATCGTCTGTTCTGCACTATAATTTGTTTCAGCTTTTCTGAATCGTCTGTTCTGCACTACCTGTATAAATTCACCGTCTCCTCAATCGTTTTCCCTTTCCGTTTTCCTTCAAAATAAGACTTCCGCTTAACAAGAAGTCAAAAGTAAAGGTCTAATATTGCGACAATTTGGCAAATAAACTCGTTGTCCTTTACAGGGACTGTGAAATACATCAGACACGTTTGAGTGCAGTTGCTGAGGCAATCGCTTCGCGGTGCACGATCAACAGATTTTTACTTTGTGTGCCATTTGTGAAACTTCAGTGCCGTTTCATTTCGCATTAAAATTGTGAACAATGTACAAGTGAGACTTCCCGCCTCGCGGCAGGAGGGAATAATATCGCTAAATTACGTGTAAATACAGATTTAGGAGTCCCATGTCTGATGTTGGTGACATACCGAATATATTTATCACGTCAGTCATTTGGGGGGAAATTAATAAACCCTGTTCCATCCTGCAGTGTTGCAATATGGACTCTGAGAGACGCTGTAGACCAGAAAGTTGATTACTGGGAGCAGGATTGGAGCTGCGCCTCCACGTAACGTCGACACAACACAGAGACAACGCGACAGAGGAGAACGGATCATTTGGCGTGCTTATCAAATGAGGGGATAATATATTGATGTATTTGGCCCTGAAAGCGAGAAACTTTGACTAAGTCTGGATTGTATTTGACATTAGACTGTGAAGAGGCTCTTTTTAGTGGAATATAAAGCGAGAGGAACTCCGCTGGGGAGAAATGGAA